TGAAGCAGATGTTGGGCTCTGAAGTCAGGTATATTTAGCTCAAATATCTGATCTTCTCTGAACTAGTTTTATCATCATGGTAAGTTTTATTAGTTCAAAGTCTTGGCTTACTCTTTACAAAATGGTAATGGAGTAATATGTTATAAAAATTAAATTAGACAATTCAGATAAAGCTTCTAGAACATAAGCCGAGAGTTCCTGGCTATCACTCCACAAGGATTTTTTTTTCAATATATGGTCCATTAATAAAATATTAAACAAAATTTACACTTAAGAAAATTACCCTTTGTTTGTTGTGATCATTTGCTTGTCCCCAGAGTAGTGTTCCTATTTACTCTTAGGTTCTCTGTCACTCATTCCAGTGCAACTCATGTCTAATCTGTGGTGATTTTAATATCTCTGGAAACATCCTGACCTGACACTCTCATGAGCATTTCCCCCAAAGATTTTATCCTCCATCTTGTTTTAGTCAGATAGCCCACATAATCATACCCAAGCCAATTCATGAACTGAATGCAAATCTTCAATAATCTTGATTTCAATATTCTGTTTTCTGCCCAGTATCTCAAATTTTCCATATTCCCCCTTGGGGTATCCCAAATTTATTCCTCCTAAATTTCCACCCTACTTATATTTACAACCCCTTAATCCTAAACCTGTCACTGACCTCTCATCTCCCTCTTCACCTCTATCATGACCTTGCTCGTCATCTCAACATGGCTAAAATTCAAGGTTTTGTCATTTTATTCATGCCCTTTGTGTGCCGCCTTCTCTTTTCACAAGACCCTAAACATAACGCATTCCAATTTTTCCCTTTACTCCTATATCCATAAACATGATGTTTATCTACAAATATTAATATCTATTCAAAGGATTTTGCTTGAAATCTAAGCCCAAGAAACCCAAAAGAGGACYATTTATTTGCCTGGTCCATTTACTTCCCATTGTCTAAATTTCTAATTTCCACCCTCTACTTTCTTCCCAAACTTTCTCAAACATCCTCACTCTTGCTTTATTTTTTACTGAGGAATTAGGAACAAACGTAAGAAGTCATCCACTATCTGATCCTTCCTCTCTGTGTTCCTTTCTAAAGCCCACTCTTACAATTTTGAAAGAAAAAAAAATCTCTACAAATACTAACAAAATTGCTCCATCAATACTCCTTCCTTTCCTTGAATCATTGCTTCCTTTTGCTACATAATTCTTGTCCACATGCAAATATGCTATTATTTGTCTAGTATCAGAAAATTACATATAATAACCTCTTCGTGTTCCCATTCCACCTACAGTTATACTCCCTTTTTCTGCTCTCCTCCATAACAAAATGACCTTCCTGCCTCCAGTTCTCTCTTACACCCACTCTATTCAGGCTTCTACCCCTACCATTCCATAATAACTACTCTTATGAAGAACATTAGGTTACACCCAGATTCAATTTTTTGTCTTCTTTTAAATTGACTTACCAGCTGATTTGACATAATAGATTACTCTAGATTCCTTAAAATACTTTCTTCAGTTTTCTTGTAGTTCAAAAACTCTCCTGATTGACCTGCCAACAAATTGGCTGYTCTTTCTCAGTATTCTCTGTTGGTTCCTCTTCATCTCTCAGATGTCACACATTGAAAATTCCCAAGACAAAGGCTTTGTTCCTAAATTTATACTCATTACCTAAGTAAGACCTCTGAATGTGTGGCTCTATATACTACATGCCAACGGTGCCTGGTGTCACATCCACAGGCCAACTGTCTGAACAAACCCACCTGAATATCTAATAAATGCCTAGATCTAATTGAATTTCAAATAAAAAGCTCACAATTGAATCTCYAATATCATGTATCAATTCATTCTACCTACAGTCTTTCCTATAATTAATAGCAATTCTACTCAACTTAGTAAGATTAAAAACCCTGACRTCATCCTTCGATGTTGACTTTCTTTCGTACTCCACAGATAATCTTTCAGCAAATCTTAAAACATATTCATAATCTGACCTCCTTTCACTTCCTTAAGTACCATCCCTCTATCTAAGCCTCCATCATCTTCTTTCCTATGTTCAAGACATTTTTCAGAACCTCTTGTTAGATCCAACTAAAATGGATACACACAAAACGACCACTGTCCACTCTGGGCACCAGATTCATCTAAAAGATTGTACTAAAGGTAGAACTTATCAGAAGCCATCATTTTTCTTCCATGGGAGCCCTTGCAGTTGAAATGCAGCAGAACACATGGTTACCATGTTTTTAATAGCTGCTCCTGTGCTAGCTCAGGTGTGAAAAAGTAGTAATCATACTGGGTAGGTTGAGAACCCCACRCTCCAAAACAGAAAAAAATGTCTTATAACTCTACCATTATTGCTTCTAGGATTCCATGAGGGACAAGTCAATTACAGGAATAATCTAACTCAGGGAAACCTAAAGATTTTTACCAGTGTCTCTAGTTCAATGATACAGTTTACCAACTGGGATCATTTTTGCCATTAGAAATATTGCCAAGGAACATGATTGTCTTTTCAATTTTATCAGGTTTATGGGGGAATAATTCTAGAAAGTTTCCCAAAGCCCAAATTCTCATACAGAAGATGGAAGGGTTTTGTTTACTCTAGACCCACATTAATTTCCACAATAACATTCTACTGATATTTCTGTGTCTACTTTTCCTCTGTTCAATCTGCTCCAGATGGAGCACCCCTGTTGATTCTGTTAAAATATAGATCAAATCACATGACTCCTCTTAAAACCCTTCAGTGGCTCCCTGTGATTCCCAAGTGTTATTAAAATATAAAGCCCCACAGGACATGGATTTGAACCATCTCTTTGAAATTTTCCAATAGTATCCTCTTCCTTGTTCATTCTGCTCCCACCATGTTAACTTTCTTACTGTTCCTACATCTTCCAAGCATGCATCTGACTTTGGAATATTTAATTATGCCCCTCAGATATACACACACACACTTAATTTCCTTCAATTCTGCTCAAATGAGACCTTCCCAATGCAGACATTTACTTATTTTTGAGGTGCAGCTGATGGAACCCAGGGCCTCATGCATGCTAGGCAAGCGCCCTACCACTAAGCTGCATTCTGTAACCCCTAAGTCGAAAGGGATTTTCATTCTTGGTTTTCCTTATTTCCCTTAATAACATTTAATATCTTTGTGTATGCATATTTTTATTATTTATTGTCTGTTCTTCCCACATAAGACATGCTTCATAAAGGCAGGATTTTGTAAATTTATTCACTGCTTATCTCCAGGAGCACCAGATATGCAGAAAGTACTCAATAAATATTTATTGAGTGAATTTATTGGATTTAAGGCTTATTCAAATTTAAATATAATTTATCACAAGCTATCTCTCATTTGAATTCCATTTTAGTGTGACTTACCTTACTACTTACTCATCTTAATAATCATAATTTTCTAAAATTTTGTTAGTAATATAACTGGTGATTTTTCTGAATATTTTAAGAAAGTATGAATGCAATTTAAATTGAAAGAATAAGGAGTCATAAAAATGAAAGAATAAGAATTATTTCCCTAAGCCAGTTATAAATTTAAAAGGATCTATTTCCTCATTGTAAAATGTTTATGATTTTTTAGAAGCCAGAAGGATTCAACAAATGTGGGTTGTGTTGTTGGCTCAAAGTTGATCTTACTCTTTAGCCTAGAAATAAACATATCAACATCTAAATGATCTTCCTACAAATAATTTGACAACTCTAACTAGTTTATGAGACATTAAATTTTTTTCTAATTATGTAATAAATCATGGGGATGATATTTTCATTTTCAAGAATGGACAGACACTAATGTTTTCTTAATTGTCACTGATGTCTTTAGCCTAATGATTTCATTGCTATTTATTCAATCACTTGTAGTTAGCCATCTGGTAATATGTAATCTGATACTGCCTCCTCACTAGTAGAAATATTCTTAGGGAGCATAGACTAAATAAAATCTATTGAAGTCAAACAATTTTACAAATCCAGTTGGAAATTATACTTGGTCAAATGCAGATTAAAAAAAAAGATTGATTTGAATTTTATGCGTAAACTTGTCTCAACAAAGTAATTTTAAAATATTTAATGGAACTTTATCAAAGAAAACTATATTTAAAAAGCAGATATTTAAACATATTGCCCATGTCAGAGAAATGTCAAGGAGAGAATTTATTAGCCTGAGAATCTGTTCCTAACTAATATAGATAATCTAAAGGTCTCTACTAATTAATGACTATTAACTAGTTAGCTAGAATTTACTAAGTCCCTGTTGTATACTGTTTTTCTACCTTTTGGAAAATAAAAAGGGTCCATATATAACTTAATCCTGTCTTTGAGATTCTTCAATCAAAATGGTAAATGAATAAAATCCTAGAGAATACTCAGAAATATGCATTTTGTGTCTAATACATGYCAGTATATTTCTAGATTCTTACTATATAAATTAAATAAAATAACTGGAAACATCAAAATACCTCCAATTAAGAAATATTACACATTTCTCTAGAAAATGCAGAGAAAAAAAGATCTATCAAATTATGGCTAAGATAAAAATAACTTAAAATATTTAGAAGATATGAATAGTGGAGAAATAATTATACTTGAAATACCTATTAAATTGGCTTTTTTGATTGACAGACAAAATAGCCTTAGCACTTAAATTTCCTAAGATGCTTACTTATTAAGGCTACTTTGAAATTTTTTCTCTGATCTTTCTAGCACTTTACAAAGACTAGCTCAACCGTGTCAGAAAAGCAAATCTTTCATAGGAATGAACAAATTCTCACATAACACCTCAGGTAGGTGTGTTAAGCTAGGGACTCTGTATCTAGGACTTGGGGTCTCTGCCCAGTTTTCCCATCTGTGCAATCCTGATGACATTTCTTTCATTAAGAAATATATAAATGACTGCCTGCAAAATGCCATCATACTTAATATCATAGTCATGGTTATCAAATGTCATTCAATTTGTAAGTGATACAAACATAGATGTCTCATTTTACCTCATCTTGCTGTGAGTTTAGCAGCTGCAATTTCATATGCTTCATATAGGCCATGGTAATTGGCATGTTGTAGTCAATCATGCTGGTCACCAAAGTAGGAGGCTTTCCATTATCTGCAAAGAAACATTTTTAATGGGTAATGAAAGTGATAGTACATTCTACCTGTAACTTCAGAATGATCCAATTTGTCCAAATTAAAATAGGCTTCTAAATACCCAGAGTTTAAAAGCATTAGTAGCATTGTAGATAGATTCCAGAAAAATAAGTGGTAAGGTTTCACAAAGGTGTATTGACACAAATTAACAATGTGGATAAATCGACTATTTTTCACTACAGGGGAGATTTTAAGTATCCTGAGTAATAATGAATAAAATTATTATAGTGATAAAACACAATTATTTGAATTTTTGTTTTGTTACATAATTACTTCCTATGTCTACTTCTGAGTGCCAAAGGAAATTTGTTTTCTTTCTTTTTCCTTTTTCTYTTCATTTTTTGACCAGGTTACTTATCTTCCTACACCTGGGGAAAAACTACCTTAAATGTAATGTATTTCTGAGATTATTTTAATTAGTGAGAGAAATTCATATTTAAGAAAATGATATAGATAATCTAATAAAAAATAAATCACAATTTTATGTAAAATTTTGTTGAAGGAAGTCCATATTAGTCATGATTTATCACAATAAGGAATTGATAGACTTAAAAGGACATTGATAGAATAAATTTCCTTGCTGAAAATATCTAAAATACCATGGAATAATATGATCAATGAAAATTAAAACATTACTATAGGGAAAAATGTTATTTTCTACAGTCGAAATTGTCTTCCAAGAATGGGCACTGAATTACTTTCTAAGTGGATATTCAAAATTCACTGCCTCCTACTTGAATAAATGAGATGATCTGACTTGTTGAACTGTTTCAGTCTCCCTCGTTTTTATGAAATTGTGAGATATAAATTGCCATTATGAATAAAATTACTTTAAATCTCACTATTTGACACTGCGGCTACCTTTATGATCTGTTCCATCTGGGTTTAAATGCATTCTTTTCTGGCACTCTGAGCAGCTCATTAGAAATCGTGTCACCGCTTCTCTTGGTAGGAAGGCATAGCTCTCTGAAATCTGAAATGATTCACAAAATATAGGTGTTACTATATAAGACGACAGCGCATGATTTAACAGAAAAGATCATTGTATTTCCAAATAAGACGCATTATTCCATAATGGCAGGAAGCACAGTGAAAGCATGCACTGCATACCATGCATCATTTCAAGAAATATCTATCCAACTTGATTAGACCTCTCTTCATAGGAGCCAATAGTGCCACGTGAAGAATAAAAAAATCCACCACATCTGGATGGATGTGTATTTTTTTTCATTTCTTTTAGAGAAAATCATCACAGTATACAGATATTCAGTGACTTTTCCTTATTATTAAAAATTGCCAACATTATTTTTTAAACTTACTGCTAGCAATATGAAAATTGTATCCAATTTCACATATATATTTTAAAATTTAGCCCCAAGTCGAAGCAGTAAATTTTGAATTCTGCATAATGAGCGTCTCTTCATTGTAGCTTTGAAAAATATTTTAAGTGAGAATTAAAGGCACATTCAAAGAGAACTCGTATATATATTACTGCAGCGAATCATCCCCTTCCACAGAAAATGACACACCTGGAAATGCACTCAGGCCACTATCTCATTTATTTCACATTGATTTTCACTTTGATAGCTTACATTGATTTTCAGAGAAAGCTTTGCCTCTGTCCATACAAAACTTTTTTTTTTTAAGAACCATGATCTGGAATCAAGTTAGAGATCAATACTCCTGTTTCAATAATTTTGTAAATATTAACTTTTCAACAAGGTATTTATCTCATCAAAGAAAATAATACTTAAAGTAAAATGGATAGATTGTTAAATATCTCTAAACATTTAACAATCTATCCATTTTAAATTTAAATCTGGCACTGACTCATACAGTGCTGCTGAGGTTCTTGGAATATTTTTTTAAAAGTGAAGAAATGTCCTCAAAAAGTAAATGCAACAAATCATTGGGAATATACTTCTAAAAAGTCCACTGACAAATACTGTAATTGAAAGGAAGATGAGCATTCTTTTCGACAATCAAGATCCTGTCTTTCTGAAAGAAACAGCATTTTAAAAAGCACTAAATTATAAAGCCAAATCCTGGAAGATCTCAAGTGCCACTCAAATTTGCCTCAGAACAACACAATTAGGGTAAAAATGTCAAGTATCCCAAAGAAACTGAAGAAAAATCCACCAGAGATAATCAACCATAGATAAATCATAGATAGGATAATTTGCAAAGTTCATCTTGAAAATTCAATTATTTATAATACCTAAAATTTTCTTTTTTAATATAAGAATTGCTATTACAACTTGGATGTGGCTACACTGAGTGATACAAACTTTTAAAAAATTGAAAAAATACTCAATTATCAAAACCGTTTAAAAACAAATAGTTGCATTGCTATAGCTATATTTTTTTTCTCAAACTGTATTTCTCACAATGTTATTGTGCAAGTTTATCTCCTTTACTCAAGACACAAAGCATTTCAAGTTAAGAGAAAAATTTGGAATAGAGAAAAAACTATAAAACAGGGAAATTTGTCTCATGCCTGCCTTCTCCAGCCCAAACATTCTTCTCTAATTTCAACTGTTTTATTTCTGACTATTTTCAATAGAAAGGCCCTAAAACTTTAATCACCTCGTATATAAATATGCAAGTCCCAGTTCCAAAAATGATAAGAGAATCAACCATTTTCAAAATTAGGATTCTTATTAAATATATGACACTAGTTCTTGATTTGGCTGTGTTTCATTTTCATTTTAGAAGAAAATACTAAACAATTTATGTGTAGTTAAGAATTCCATTATTTGAGTGCTTATGGATTTTTATCATTTAATCCTCACAACACAGCCCTGCCTGAAGACATTACCATCATCACTATTATGGTACGTGCTTTACAGATGAGAAAACTGAGCTTCAACAGGCTTTGTGTATTTTTGCCAATCAAGTGCAAAACAGAACTCACATCTGATAGCTTGGTTTCAGAGACTATCCCTTGAACCTATCTCTAGGCTTTATAACAGCTCCTGGTAATAATTATCTTTAAAAAAATACAGATGGTTTCATCCTTAAAGAGTTAAGATATTAACCTTACAATATAATTTAATTATAATTATTCTAAAATATTTATAACATTCCCTGGTATGAAGATCTTTAAAAGTATAGAAGGCACCATCCTGTTTGAGGTGATCCTTCTGAATAGGAGGGGCAGCCAAACACTCTCTGCCTTCTCTCAGGTTACGAGTTCCACAAGAAACTCGTCAGACCAACAGTAACATTTCAGAGCTTCACCTGGAAGAAATTAACAGGCCATCTGTCCTGTTCCAGAACAGGCAGAAGAACTAGGGCTAAAATGATGTCTTAGTGTCTATTATAATATGAGCAAGAAACTAAATACACAGGATTTCCACTTTCCATGGAATGTATGACAGGAATGTAAATAGCTATTTCTAAAGGAATAAGATTTCTTATTGCTAAGAGAAATTTGCCAGCAGAGAAGCCAACCTTGTCCTAATATTTGAAGCTAATTCAGGAGCTGAAATAAAGACATTCCATTACATTGGTGAAACATGGGTAGTATCAATCGCTTTATAAAGCAATCAAACAAAACTAAGCTAACCAAAATACTTAGCAAACAAAATCACACCATTTTGACCTCAGGGCACTATGTGGAGTGGGGTGGGGGCAGCGAGATCAATGTTTCTAAAGAGCATGCCTTTAGTCAGGCACAGTGGTTCACACCTGCAATTTAAGTGACTCAGGAGGCTGCGGTAGGAGGATAGCAAGTTTGAGGCCAGTATCAGCAACTTAGCAAGACCCTATCTCAAAAAAAAAAAAAAAAAAAAAAAAGACTTGGGATTTATCTCAATGATAAAGTGTCCTAGGTTTAATATTCAGTACCAAAAATACATTAAAGAAATGAGTATCATTCATTTGAAAAAGTCACTTGATGCTTTGGTAGAGTGTGTTCCTTTTCAGATACTGAGCTTTACAGCAACAACAACAACAAAAAATTGAACATAAAATCATTACATCAATTGTTTTTCATCACTCTACCTTTGTTTTTAAAATTAACATAGATATAAAATAATACCTTTATTTCATTGGAATAAAAACATGAAAATCATAGCTTTTGTCAAATATCACATACTACACTTACAGAAGAATTTGCCTTTGGGAACCAAACTTCTGAAATTTTCTCCTGTGAAATCCTAGTCTTTATGGATAAAGAATAAATTACAAACAATCACCCAGTAAAACTTGCTTATCTTCATTTGAGAAAACACAAACCATCTACAGCGTTGGTAACAGGATAACACAGTTATAGAAAATTTTATATTTTAAAAATGAATAAAATTAAAAATAGAACCAAAAAAAGCCTATCAATCAAAATGTTATTAAAGGACCTATATTTGCTGACTCATGAGTCATGGTACATATTGGTCCAGAAAAAACTCTATCTGAAATGGTAAAACCAATACTTTAGGCAACATCTCCAGTTCAAGGGTCCCGCTCCCTTTATCTGTTGTACATATTGCGCATCTTTGCAAACATTTCAAGAAAGGTATTTAGGGCCTCCCAGAGGCTTGGGAGGCTGAGGCAGGAGTATTGCAAATTCAAAGCCAGACTCAGCATTTTAGGGAGGCCCTACACAACTCAGCGAGATTCTGTCTCTAAATTAAAAAATAAAAAAAGGGCTGAGGATGGAGCTCAGTGGTTAAGTGCTCCTGGGGTCAATTTTCAGTACAAAAATGAAAGAAAAAAGAAAGGGATCTAGGGTTTAAACAAACAAAAGCTCATAACATTGTCCCAGAGTGGAATTTGAAATGATAACGGATACACAGCCATGGCTTTGGTATTTTTCTAGACATGTTGCAAAATTGAAACACCCAACCAATGACTTGTGATTTTACTTATGTGGGTTGTTTTTAACAATTCCATGCATGCAAAAAGGTGAGCAGAGTACTTCTACAGAGGAAATAATTAATTTGCCAAGTTGTGTAGGAACAATCTTGTTCAACTAAACATTTATTCATTGAATACCCGAATGCATAGGTTCTACAATCATCCCTCAATACTGCTGGATATGCTTCTAAGCACTGATGTGCCTGGATATATCAAATTATTGTAATCACATATTGGTAATTATTAGACTAGTTTAGAAGAAGAAATTCTGAAAACTACTTTGCTCAGGACTCAAAAATTCTTAGGTGAAAAGTTCATAAATAACAATAACTAATTAGACAAAAAATCTAGAAATACTGGCCTGCCCATCCAATTTGCATTCACTATGTTCCTCAAAAACTTGCTTCAGAACTTTTTCAGGAAGAGTTAATGCCTATCTGATCTCTAASTGTATGCTGAAGATCAACAGAATTCCTGTGCTTTAATATTTCTAATACCAAAACCAGAGTGCTGCTAGATTTGCCTATCAACCCCAAACTCGCCACTCCTACGCTGGTGGAGATGCTCACATTTTGACTGGGTTCTATTGATACTACAGCACTAGCCTATTTTGCTCCTACCCTGGTAGGAGCATTACTGCAGAATGTTATTTTGAGTTCATACAGCTGTCGATATCTTCTTTCCCTTACTTTTTCTCTAGATTGTTTTCCTTGTTCAATCTTTCTACTCATTCATCCATATTACAGTCAGGAATACCTAGAGTTGATTTTTACATCAAATTAAGATGGCTAGATAAAACATAAGGCACCCAATTAAATTTGAAACTCYGAATAATCATATAATATTTGCGTCAAGTTATACTAAAAAATCATTGTTTTTTTTCTGAAATTCAACTGTAACTGACATCCTATATTGTGTTTGTTAAATTTGGTCACCTTAATGAGTATATTTATCTACAATGAAGGACAATACAAGTTTGTGTCTAAAGTTAATTTTAAATTTGGAACTGTTAKGTCAGGAACATCTCAGAGTTTGACAAGAGAAGAAATGAGAGCTAGGAAAATGGTAGTAATTTTTGGACAGTGCAGGCAATTTGAGATCTCAGTGCCCTTCTCAAGC